TAAACCACTGAAGGGTCCAATTTGTCAGAAACTTGTCGTATCCCTGAATGTTGCCTACGCATTGAATAATTAATGGAGATAATGAAGTTTCTATACTTAGCTTCCTTTAGAACGTTAATATTCGGGAAAACCCAATTTTTTTTGGGTTCCTCAACTGAAAAAAAGTTTTGAAAAGTTGTGTAGTGAATGTATCCAATTGAAAGTGTATCCTTATACACTTCGTGTTTATTTGACTGAACTGACTGATAATATAAACAAAACTGAAGACTTCACCGTGTACCCCTAGTTGAAATATAATTTTAGAGTTCAAGTTTTTACGGTGTTTTGTTTCCTCAGTCGTTGTTTTCAAATTCGTAAACAAAACACAGACTCGACTCATCCGTTTGGTGGGAAACCTTTAAACCTCCATTCACTGGAACTTCAACACATCAAAGAACAGTAACGTAGCGTACTATCGGCAAAACTTCACAATAATTAGTATACGACATTAGAGGACGTTCAAACATGATCTATTTGCGAGAGGCGAGTGCCTGAGACCGTACAGCGTAAACTATTCACAAGGAATCCGGCGGAAGGGACGTGAAGGAGGCAGGCCTCAGCTGAAGAAGCGGTCCAACGACATTCCCGCTTGCTCAACGAAACGCACGAAAACTGACTTCGCATGGGCCACTGTCCGCATTATCTTCTAGTGCTATTTAACATTAGATCAACTATGATTTCGATATATTTTATTTAAAGATCTACAAACTTATTTGAATCGTATCTGTTGAACACAAAAATAAAATTGTGAATACCTTTCTGAAACGTATAGAAGTATTTTAAGCAAAATTTAAAAAATGAAATGGTATAAATAATCAAATTCACATAATGTAAAAATTAAAAACTGTTTATGAGAAAAGTACATATGCATATTATACTATTTCTCCAGTGTATGTTATTTAATACCTAATTTTTTCTTTATATATTATGTATCTCAACAAATTGAAAGTATTACTATTTTACTATTATTACTATGATATAACTACTACATAAACCACTCAAAAAAGTGAAACACTGGATACATTTTTGTAAAAGTTATCCAAAGTATATTTATTGCTGACCAAAAGCAATAGGACCTAAGGTAACTGTTATTGAATGAATTTCAGTATTTCTAAAAAATGTTCATTAATATCTACATAAAATTTTGATTAAAAAAAATTCACCGAATTTTTTATACAACCATTTTGTAATGTATATTTAATAAGTTTGTATATTTAATAAGTTACTTAAAGACGAAACGTCGAGTTGAATTAAAATACTTTTGATTTACCATTGACCCTCTCTCCACCAGTACATCCTTAAATATTGAAACTGGGTCACAAAAACATCAAGAAATACTTTAACTAATGTAGTCGTTTTCTATAGTATAGTCTTGCTCAAATTATTTTTAGACTTGGAAAATAACCAAATTTCATCGACATATATGAATGGAGAACTAAAAATTTTTTTACAACAGTGTCTTTTTCCCAGAAGTCTTTTCTGTTATCTTAAAACGAACATCTTGTTCGTTTTAATTTTCGTTTTACTTCAAGAAGGATGCTATCCAAAGTGTTCATTAGAGATCCCTAATTTATATATTTTGTATTGCAAGTTTCAAAATTAATTGCTTCTTGTGAATCTAAGGACTTTGGATGAGAGGACTATTTTGGTTCTTTTTCAACCCCGTCACTCTTGTCGAGTTTTATCAAACGTTTTAATTTGGATTGACTTATTCCAGAAGCTTCAAAACTAACTAAAACGTGTCTTATATGGCTTAGAGACGCATCGTCAGCTGATGGTATCGCATTGTCGAACTCTCAATAATAATTGAAATTATTTTTATTTTTATTATCATTATCATTTATTATCATATCGGATCTGCTTCAGGTAGTACTTTATTCGATTATATAAACCCTATTTATTCGACTTGAGTTTTATTGAAACCAGAAGAAAATTACCGCCGTTCCGAACTAACTTTAAGCCTCTTATGGTATCTTAACGAAATGGTGTCTTGTAGAGGTGTCAAGATTAATCACGTGTTACTGACACCGAGATATTTGTGGTTCGTCTCGAATTACGCGTCTCGAAATGAAAGTGATATTAATGTGAACTTGCAGATGCAGTTTCTACGGCCGATTGTGTGCACGCAGAGTTTCCGAGTAAGAAATTCTTGTACATTATTCACTTGTTTTTAAAGTATTCAAATACTAGTAGACGTTTGTAGGTAATTATGAGAACCTTTGTTTTTTAAATTAATTTGTGAATTTATCAATAATGAGCGCTTTCTGAATATTCATATTCCATAGCAAACTGAAGAAGATTCAACAGATAGAATACGTTAGATCTCACCTTATACGGGTGTATCCTGGGCCATAGTTGCACGAGTATTACGCTGACAATTATTCCACCTTTACCATACCAAGTATGTACAAGCTCTTCTACTATGAGACTATCAAGAAAGAGTAATATTTTGTAGAGAATAATCAGAACTACGACTAATCCAATTTTTTAATTCGATTTTATGGACGGATTAATCAAACTTGAAGCGCACATACACAAATTACAGTATTGGGCACTAAAAAACTTGAGAATAGCAAGGAACGATCGCTTTCAGAACCAGTTTGTTATTGTTCCCGTTGTTCTGAATGCATTAACTATGATACTGTCATTTGATTTTGCTTTCCTGACCTTTTTTGTGTACCTTCAAGGACAGGTAGCCAGATTTTATTAATGTTCATTGCTTCTTCTTCACTATTGAAATTATCCTTGTGTTTTTGAATTTCTATTGCCTCTCTATAAACTCTTGGATAGTAATTTTGAGTTTTATCGATTATTACTGTATCTTCGAATGAGACAATTTGAGTGTCTTCTTTGTTGAGAGCATGTGTTCGGAGAGACGGGTACCTACACTTCTTTTCGTGGTTCCAATGTAGACGACCCGCAGCTACAAGGAATTCGGCATACCCCGGGTATTACTAAAGTTTCTCTGGGGTCCTTAGCAGACCATAGACTTTGTCTAATAGTTTTTGTTGTCCTAAATATTGGTTTAACTCTCCTGATCCGCCAAAATAAACCCAGTAACTTTGGCGTACTCCCTCCTGGGTCGTATGCCCCCTTCAAATTCTCCTTCGCTGTACCTATTTGCTTCGAAGGCATTTTTTAGACGATTGAGTTCCTCAGGAAGACTCTCAGGTTCACAGATACGTCGTACTCTCTCAACCATGAATAATTACCTGAGCTTACCCATAAACTGCTTATCAATTGGAACATTAGGAAATAATATTGACAGACTCATTTAAATGTCCACTAAGCAATGAGTAGGTGGAATTTAATAAGTACTACAAGCCGAAAGAAACTATTGTAGAGGGAACACGTGTTGCGGTTTTGTGCACCCAATGAAACACGTGTTGCTGTTTTGTACACTCAATTAAAATCTTACAATAAAGTGTTACTCAAATATGCTACCTGGAAGATGAGACGGACAAAAGTGTTTACGATGTTTGCCAAACAATCTGCCAGCCTTTCTAAACGAAGTACCTTTAAACTTGCACAGTTAGATGGCGCTCCACCACATTTTGACCGCCAAGTTCGGCAATTTTCAATAAGTACCTGTCAACGAAGATGGATAGGAAAGGGTAGAAAAAAATCATTGCCACCACCGTTCCTGAATATGAACCTTCTTGACTTTTTTCTTTGGGGCTACATAAAATAGCGTGTCGAAATGTAATAATGAACAAGGATTGCGAAAACACATTCATCATGTGGTGCAAGAAATACGAAATAATCTGCCAACAATTTACAATTTCCAATGAAATTTTATTCGATGCTACAGAATATATACATTAGAGCTGGAGGAAGGAGTTAATTTTGAGCATTCTTTGTAAATATTTTTCTTGAAATGTATTTAATATTTTCACTTTTTCAGTTCTTATTAAAAGTAAAGTATATATTCTTATCAAACCTAATTGCCTATTGCAGATTGAAAATAGAATATTATTTAGTCCATTTTTTGATAATATTTTGAGTTTTCATTTTAATAGAAACATCCAAAGTTAAAATGACACTAATTACCATTTCACTTTCTATCACTTTTCAGTGAAATGAACATAAATCTTCCGATAGTCCACATAAATACAATTTCCTCACAATAATGATTGAACATTAAACTAATTATCAGTTCATAAGAAAAATGATATGAGGCAATATATGTTTTGATAATCGTAATTGACTGTAGAGCGATCTGCATCGAGAACAGCAATCATCGAAGTAATTTGATATATCAGCAATAATTGGACCACAAAAAGTGTGTTGATTGGAGCAAAGTAGTTATAGAAAGTGTCAACGGCGTATTATTTGTTCTGAGAGCGGAATGCTAAAAGCATTCTTCGGCTTCTGGGACCAACCGAGATTCGGACAACGTGACTGGCATCTCGGCTCTCATACATTTCAATCATCTGCTAAAGATTGTCATTTCGTGGCGCTGTCTCTTTCTTGGACGTTCTCGCAGTCAAGGGCAACCTTTCGGAAATCCACCTCTGAGTAATATCTAATGGGCTGGTAGGAAACAGTTTACTTAGATTCAGATAAAGTTGAATAACTGAAAATCACTTTTGCATTTTGTTGAAAGTATGTTGCAATTATTTTCGGTTAGTCATTCTGATTAAGTAGTTTGAAAATAAGCATGAATATCCATCGGCATAAAATGTTTTATAATACCTTTATAAATAATTGGGCACATCTATAATGTACAATGAAAATAAAATAGGCAGTGATATGCTTTCTTGTGGAACCCCGACGGTACTTTTCAGCAATATCAGATTTGTATGATTCTATTCTACGCCCCTGTCGTTGTTTTTACTTCTCTGTAGGTACTACATACAAAACTCGGCTGAGGTCTTTGAAATCTACTTTGAAATCTTCCTCTATTTTCTATATTCCTATATACTGATTATCTCCACTGAACCTTAATTTTTTTGTTCCAGGTGATATAACTACCAAAGATGTTTTGGACAGAGAAACCAAACAACATCACGACTTGGTTGTTGAAGCCAGAGACAAAGGCTCACCTCCTAGGAGTTCAAGGGTTGTCGTGAAAATCGTCGTATTGGACGTAAACGACAATACCCCGGAAATCGTAGACCCCCAAGAAGATGTCATCAGCGTCCGAGAAGAACAGCCACCAGGTACCGAAGTTGTTCGTGTGAGAGCAATCGACGCTGACAACGGAAACAACGCCTCCCTCACATATTCGATAGTGAAAAATCATGATTCAGACGGACACGGTGTCTTCGCCATAGATCCAGTCTCCGGCGTCATAAAAACCAGGATGGTTCTGGACCACGAAGAGAAAACTATCTACCGTCTTGCTGTGGCAGTTACGGATGGAGGAAAACCACCCAAGCAGAGCATTCGAATGCTGAGGGTCGAAGTATTGGATCTGAACGATAACAGACCCACTTTCACGAGTTCAAGTTTGGCTTTCAGAGTTGATGAAGACGTTCCCGTTGGCTATGTAGTCGGATCAATCGCTCTCACGGAACCTGTTGATGAGAATTCGCTAACAGGTTCCGGAGGGTATGTAACCTACTCCTTGACGTCTTTGTCTACGGATACAATAGGGGATGCTTTTGACATCGACAGAAGTACAGGGTCTCTTGTTGTGGCTAGGCGACTAGATAGAGAGACACAGAGTGAATATCGCTTGGAGGTAAGAGCTCTGGATACCAGCGCCATGAACAATCCTCAGAGTAGCGCAGTCACTGTCAGAGTAGACATTGCCGATGTAAATGATAACGCACCGAAATGGCCACAAGATCCCATAACCATCCCCATCAACGAGCACACCGAAATAGGTACTCCAGTCTTCAATTTTTCAGCGTTCGATGCAGACAGTGGAAGTAATAGTCAGTTGAGGTATAGCTTGCAGAAACAACCCCACACGGCTGATATATTTTCCGTGGATTTGCTCACTGGAACACTTGTTTTACTTTCAAATCTGGATTTCGAAACGACTCAGGAGTACACCATTATCGTGACTGCAACTGATCAGTCACAAAACGTCTCTGAAAGGCTTAGCACCTCTGTTACTGGTCGAATAATTGTTACTGACTTCAACGACAACGCTCCAAAATTTGTGGTTCCCACTACCTCCACAGTACAAATAAGCGAGTCTACTAGCGTGGGGATGACCATTGCTCACATCATCGCCATCGATATGGATAGTGGAGACAATGGCAGAGTTACGTATATAATTTCAAACGGGAATGACGCGGGTCTATTTTCATTGGGGTATGACACTGGGACCTTAACTCTGGCGAAGCCTTTGCCTTCTAGTCATAAATCGTTTGTTCTAAATATTACCGCGAACGATCATGGAACACCTACGAAGCAAGCTACTATGCAACTGAAATTGGTTGTGCAGGGATCGCTCAATAGTTCGTTGAAGTTCTTGGAGTCGCAGTACTTGGTTAGCGTTCCGGAAGACGTGTCTGTTGGAAGTGTTGTTACCAAAGTCTCTGCGAGGTCCGGAATTACAAATGACAGTGAGTATACTTGAAAGTTATGTGTTTTGAAGCTACGATTTAGGTACATGTTATGTATTCACTTTTCGGAACTCTTCTAGTTGGCTTAGATTTTTCTCACACATACGATGAGTTACGTAATCACGTTCCATATACATAAAATATTAGGAAAAATGGCTTTAGTTAGCCTGCACGGATCTGGCACATGCGCATACACAATTTAATTTTTTTTTTTGTGACAATAATTCTACTGAAAGTTTTGAAGATGCTATTCGTGAAATTGATATATACCTATTTTTTTATTGAATTTCATCAATTTTGAAGTGTTCAAAGATATAATTTCAAGTGTTGAGGTTAGAAAGAAAGTGAACCATATGTTGGTAATGTTTGTTACTGAAAAATCTTCAACGTAAAATAATCGTTACTCTGCAAATTTAAACTATTCGCCACGTTTCGTACCGTGTGCCCACCAGTGGACACTGTCAGGTGTCTATTCGGACCCCGTGGCTATCTATAGACATTTTGATCTTGACCTTGATCATTAGACGCCATGTGCACACCCGTGGATACATTCTATATAGGTATTGCATGTATTTGTCGATTCTGCAATCCCAGAGATGCAGACCATGCAGTTTTAATTTTTTCAGTATTGGTTTTTCGCTTGCCAAATTCACTGTCTACAGTGATTGAAAAACTGTGTCTACGGGTGGTAATTCAGTCTCCAGCAGCAAAATTTCTATCTGAGACTACACGTCCATCTGTGGTCACAGAAAAAGAAATATCGGAAAAACACAATTTTCATTGAAAACTTGTCGAAATAACTAATTAAATGATCTAGAGAAAACAAAAAATATAACGAAATCTCTACAAATTATTATTATTAAACAACGTAACTTGTGATATTATTGATGTTTGATAGCAATTGACGTCATGCATGTTGACTGGCGTGCCTTCTCACATAATTTAAGAGTGATTCATTTCTCTTTTATTATTGAATGAATGTTCATTTTCTTGAAAATTAGAAAAACCATTTCGATTTTAGAGTGTCTTTGATGTAAACCACTATATCATTATTATAATTGTATTTTTAATAGATTCATTGATATGTTGAAAAATTACCTAAGTCTGGGCATCATAACTTGCTTTATGTATAGCTGACTATTTATAAATGAACTCCCTCTAAGAATAACTGCTTTACCTACTTGTATTTCGACCGACAATTTGGAGATTTAACTGAATGTTTTTTCACAGATAACATAACATTTATCATACCACCAGCAATGGCACACAGTACCTTCGAAATCCTTTCCCCATCTGGTGAGGTGCTTACGAAGAAACCTTTGGATAGAGAAGAAGTCGAAGCATATGTTATACCTATCTACGTTTCAGATTGGACTCATTCCATGACTTTATTTGATTCCACAACTTTGGTCATTAAAGTAACGGATGTCAATGACAATACTCCTAAATTCCAACCGGGATCCTGCTACCGACTTTCCGTTCCTGAAAACTCTGAAACTGCTGTAATCCACACGGTAACAGCAGAAGACCTGGATGAAGGTCCCAATGGGGACGTTTCCTACAGCATCACCAGTGGTAATAATGGAAACAAGTTCAGCGTTGATCCCAAATCTGGAGATATAACTTCCCGGCCTCTGGATAGGGAAAGCCAGTCCAGGTATTCATTGACCATCACTGCGCGGGATCGAGGAACACCAACATTACAAAGTTCCTGCAATTTGAGTATTTACGTCGAAGACCAGAATGATAATGACCCAAAATTTGATTTGTCGAAATATTCCACGGCCATTTTGGAGGATGTGCCAATAGACACTTCCGTGTTAACTGTTCATGCATCCGATGCTGATCTAGGAGTGAATGCTCGCATCATTTATTCTTTGGCCAACGAGAGCCATTGGTTATTTCGAGTGGATAATAAGACTGGACTTATTACTACTGCTGGGTAAGTTTTAATATACTGAGACAATTAACTTATTGAATTATTCCTCTTTCTCAATAGACTTGAATAATGTTTTATTCAAATACACATGAATCATTATGAGATTCATGAGATAAAAAGTTGCCCTAGACAACGACTTATGGGGGGCATCTAAAATTATTTGGAATCAGTGGTGCTATTTGAAGCATCACATTGAACACAAATTATAGCAAACTGTTTTTTGTCTTTCTACTTCTCCATATCCATACTAAACAATGTGAGAAACTTCCAAATAAAGAAGAAAAGTAATTAAGTTGAAAAATAATTGCTTTCTTCCTTTATTCGGAAGTTTTTTTTGTAAAAAGATGTATAGAAGTAAAAAGCCAAAAACGAATCTCTCCTGAAAATATTTACCAGTTTAATTTACAAGAATTATATTTATTGAAAAGTAAAAATTTTCACTCCAGAGATATATTTTGTTCATCCAGATTCTAATTAGATTTGAAAGTGTCCGATAGGGTCAATCACATTTTGACAGACAAGCAGAAATAACTTAACTTGTTTTGAAAGACAATTATTACATATTACATATTGATGTCAACTTTTTGTCTTCTCAGGCTCTTCGACAGAGAGCGCCACAACCTCTACAACTTCCTTGTAGTTGCTACTGATAGCGGAAAATACAACGCCAGGTCTCAAAGCGTGCCCGTGACCGTAAAAATAATGGACGTTAACGACAATAATCCTGTTTTCATCAAATACCCTTTCAAAGAAAAAGTGACCCCTTACATCCAACCAGGTCAGATGATCCTCAAAGTTTCTGCCAACGACGTCGACGAAGGTACCAACGCAGAAATTGTCTACAGTATCTTGAATGATAATTCTTACGGAAAGTTCAGGATCAATCCAAACACAGGCATACTGACCACTACTCAATCCTTGGCCAGCAACAAAGGAAAAGTTTCGTACTTGAACATTCTAGCTACTGATAAGGGAAATCCTCCTAGGAGCTCAACCGGTCTCATCGAAATCATGGTTGGGGACCTCCAAGAAGGTTCCCCATTGCTCAGATTTCAGAACGATACCTACACGATAACCGTTAGCGAAAGCGCGGAGCAGTTCCAAGATATAATACAGGTGGCAGCAGTGAGAACGGATGGCCGGCGTCAAAAAATTATCTACTCCATCGGCAGTGGTAATGAAGAAAACATCTTCGTTATCAATTCCAGTAGTGGCATAATTCAAGTGCGAGACCCAAAGAATTTGGACTACGAGCTGCATAAAGAGATTGTCCTGGTAGTCGAGGCTAGAACCGAAGGGAACCCGAATCTTCATGGGTACTGTAACGTCATTATTCAAATCACCGATGAAAACGATAACTCGCCGAAATTCACTCAGCAACAGTATTCAGCCAGTGTTTGGGAGGGCAATAAGAAGGGGGCGTTCGTACTGCAGGTGGTTGCTTTTGATGCTGATGAAGGATCCAATTCTAGAATACTCTATCATATTGTGGACGGGAATCACGATAATGCTTTCAAGATTGAGCCTGCTTTTAGTGGTACATTGAAGACTAATATTGTCCTGGACAGAGAAATTCGTGATTTGTATAGGTAAGAATTAATTTTATAGCTTCACCTGAAGATAAATTAAGATATACTTAGAGTTTTTCTTGAACCTGTTTTCCAATTTATCGATCTTTATTGCAAATCATTGATCAATCTAATGGAAAGCTTAAGAATTAAGGCACCAAGTTGAAATAAACAATAAAGATTCTCATATTACAGTTATATTCACGTGTAGCAATGACAGCTTATTCTGATTCAGTAATACAGGCAATAATATGAGACAAATAATTTCCATTTTTTTTAAGATTGACGGTGATAGCAACGGACGAAGGCATTCCCCAGATGACTGGCACAGCGAGAATCCGCATCAACGTCGTCGACGTCAATGATAACCAACCGACATTTCCACCACACAGTATCATTACCGTCAAAGAAGACACACCTGTAGGAACAGTTTTGACAATCGTTACGGCGAATGATGTTGACACATATCCTCCTCTCACGTATGCTTTTGCTGAGAAGAGCGACGTGGATGATTTGAAGTACTTCAGTATCGACAGATACAGTGGAAAGGTCGTGCTTAAGAAGAGTCTGGACTTTGAATTGTGGCAGGAGTGTAAACTAGAAATAGTAGCCTCAGATACGGCCCATGTGGCACACACTACGCTTACCATAAAAGTTTTGGACGTTAACGATAATGCACCGGTGTTTCTCCAGGCGTCATACGTGGCCAGTTTACCAGGTTAGTCTCAAATTTTTATTAAACTGTATAGAAGTGAATCTTCACTGGTATTTTTATATATGATGATTTCAAATGGCTTTTCGCTTTAGATAAAGCTTGAATTTGGCTGCTTGCGTATAGAAAATATTTCAGTTGGCTATTTTATTTCCGACTATGAATTTGGATTTCTATTTGATTTTTGACTAATAATATTCGTGATTTTAAAATTATTATATTTTTATAAAACTTGAAAATGATACAGAAAATGGAAATATTGTATATGATATTACTCAAAACATACATGCTATGTTGAGCTATTCATTCACAAGCCTACAGTTTATAGTTTTGTAATATACAACCCTTTAAAAATGCAGAATAGGGCAATCTCATTCTGTTTTTCCAGCTACCCACTTTATTATCAATGTACATAATATACCTAATTGGCCCAAAAGTAGACAATGTTGTTGTTCATTTTCGAAAAGTTTTCAAATAAGATGTTACTTTCATCTCTTGAACCTTCACCCCTTTTATCTATTTCCAAACATTTTTATTCAGAATAGATTTCAGATGTGTGTTGTGGCAGATTTCAAGAATTTGTTTGTTTGAAAATTTTGTAATAGTCAGCTGACTTTTTCGGATTTTGACTTGGCAGCTATATTTGGTTGGTATTTCATATATGATTCTCCAAAATCTGTTCCAAGTCACTATCAGTCATTTTCAACGCGATTAAATGAATGAAAATGGGTACGCTCCATAAAAAATAAAGGACCATTAACAAGATAACAACTGATCCAAATAATTATTTTTTTCTTCAGATGGAAATTCTGCATCGCTCGTAGATATCGTCACCCTGAATGCAACAGACCCGGACACAGAAGAGAACGGAAAAATACGTTACTCCATAGTGAATCTAACCCCAGGATTCGTGATTGGAGAAGATGATGGAATCCTGAGAACAAATCTTTCCACAGTTCTATCCCACACAGAAGACATTTTGTTGACTGTCAAGGCAACAGACATGGGAGATCCACTTCAACATTCCTTTGTTCCTGTTAGGATAAGGACTAATGTTGGCTCAGGATCTGGTCAGAAGTCGGTCAACAAGTTGGATTACAAGTAAGTTATATTTATTTCATAAATGAATCATCAAGGTAGAAAATTATGAATCATGTCTTCTACACAAAATGAAAAATTCATTTGAAAATTGACATTCGTATATTTCATTTAAAATTGGTATATTTCAGTTAAAATTCGAAAAATCATAGAAAATAAACTTTTCCCTATTTACTTTGTATTCCAAACATTCGTTATGAAATTGAATCAGATATCATTCAAGGATTGCTACACAATATAATAAATGAAAGTGGTAAAATTTCACTTACATGGAGCACTGTCATCCTCAATAGTGAACATCTGATGTTTGGTCGTAAGGCATTTGCTTTATCGTCCCTTCAGCACGAAATCTGTATAACATTATAAGATGAAGCACTCAACTTATTCATATAGAGATAGCGAAGTAGAAAGTGAAACCCTTTTTTATCAAAATCAACTTTCGTCACATAAATACATTCGTGGTAATTTCTTCTTATAAAATCTCTTGAAAAAATCAACTTCATTATATCGAATACGATTTGTGAAAAATTACAGGGATGTATAGATCACTAAGAGGGTAATTTGAACTATGTGGAGCAGTCATTAAAATCTAACATTCGTATAACGTCATGTACATTTCGGAGATTTCCATATAACACTTGGACATTTGTTTTCACAATAGTCTCCTATCCTTCAATGCGCATATATAAGTCCACCTTGTATATTGATATGATGCATAAATGATACTGTGAGTAGTTTCTAACATATATCCTATTTTATTTTATTTTTGTTCCAGAATCAACATACCTGAAAACACTACAAGAGGTTTCACAATCATACATTTAGCAAAACCACCACAACACAATGAAGTCACCTTCTTCAGAATCGTGGATGGAAATGACGACGGCCTGTTCGAAATATCCAACCCTTCGGGAGCGGTCATATTAGTGAAACCTTTGGACAGAGAACTTCAAGAAATCCACAACTTAAAAATTTCCGCCGATGAATCAAACTTGGTTATTATGCACGTGAGGGTCAATGTGGATGACTCTAATGACAATGCTCCTATTTTCCAATCCACCGATAATGAAAAAACTGTTAGTGAAAATCTGGCGGTGGGTTCCAAAGTAGATACCATCATCTCAACGGATGCGGATCAGCCTAACTCACCAAACTCAGAAGTCGTGTATGACATAACGTCGGGCAACGATGAAGGAAGTTTCAGAATAGACTCAAAGACTGGCGTAATTTACGTTAACAAATCCCTTGATTACGACCAGGGTAAAACGGAGTACAATCTTATAATTAGAGCGTGTGACAAAGGGACACCAGTACTCTGCACACTCAATACTTTTCTGATCATCCTGCAGGACGAAAACGATAACGAACCCAAGTTTCCAGTCGCCGAATACTTGGAGTTCGTTGGCGAGAACGAACCAATTGGTACTGTCATATTCACAGCCCATGCAACCGACTTGGATCGAGGATTCTTCGGCGCTGTCAATTATTCCATAGTTGGCTCGAATAACTATGCTCAATTAGATACCTCTTGGAAGTTGTTCAGGATAGATTCTTCCACGGGGATGGTAACCACCGCAATAGGTTTCGATTACGAGCAGCGGAGTCGATACAATTTTATGATACAAGCTACAGATGTTGGTGGAAAGTATTCCTTGGTGAGAGTAAGAGTTGAAATCGAAGGAAAAGACGAGTTTCATCCGCAGTTTACGGAAAGATCTTACAAATTTACTCTGCCGATATCAAGTGCTCTCCCAGCAGGTTACGTAGTCGGGCATGTTACAGCTACAGACAGAGATAAGGGCCCCGATGGTCGGGTGGTTTACCAATTGAATACTCAACACTCAATATTCAAAGTCAATCGGACTACTGGAGATATAATGATCAAAAAGAAATTCGACTATTCGGAACTGCCAACTCCAGGACGAGAAATGAGCTTGGTGATCATCGCTAGTTCTGGAAGGCAAGGTTCCCTGACGAACACGACCGTGGTAGAAATCATCCTGGATCCGCTGGCAGATCCTGGTACCAACTTGGCGATCAACAGAGAGAACAGCACAACGGTATCTGCCACGAATGGTGGAATAGCAGACTGGGCGTTGGGACTCTTGATAGCACTGCTTCTTCTCATCATTACCTTCGGAGCAGTGTTCGTGTTTCTCCACATGAGGAACAAGCGTAATAGAAAAATCAACAAACCGAACCTCAGCTCGGAGACTGTTTCCACGTCCAATAACTACGTGGATCCGAGCGCTTTCGACACTATTCCCATCCGGGCTGGTGTAGGTGCTATTCAAGGTGGAAACAACCAGTTTGCCCCACCGAAGTATGACGAAATTCCGCCCTACGGCGCTGGACATCCCGCGAGTTCCAACTCAGGAGCTGCTACGACTTCGGAACTTTCTGGATCCGAACAGTCCGGTTCAAGCGGCAGGGGGTCTGCCGAAGAAGGAGAAGATGGCGAAGACGAAGAAATCAGAATGATCAACGAAGGCCCTCTTCAGAGGGACTCTGGCATCCACCGACAGAACGACGATGACAACCTCTCGGATGTTTCGGTGAGGAACACACAAGAGTATCTGGCGAGGTTGGGCATCATTAACAACAGCAACTCAAGTCATCCACAGACTGCATCCAGGTTATGTGCTGATCCTCGTGCTGGCACGAGCAAGGAGAACATCCACCACCATCAATCGGTGCCTTTGGATAATCTTCACATATTCGACGAAGAAGGCAATGAGAACGATATTACAAATATGATCTACGCGAAGTTGAACGATGTCGCAGGGAGCGACAGGGGCAGCTCGACGAACGAAGGAGGCGCTACGAATCTCGCGTCAACGATGGATCACGTGATGGGTATGGGAGGGTATGGAGACGTGCCAACGGTGACCCACCAGCCGTCCATGAACGGATCCTTGAGCTCCATAGTGCACAGCGAAGAAGAACTGGCGGGGAGTTACAACTGGGACTATTTACTAGACTGGGGTCCCCAGTATCAACCCCTGGCTCACGTGTTCTCAGAGATTGCAAGACTGAAAGACGATACGGCATCCGTTCACAGTGGTGCAAGTGGGACTTCTAGTGTTAGGAGTAAAAACTCGGCGGCTCTCGCGAAGAACATTCCTCCACCGCTGATTACCAGCGTGGCTCCCAGGTCGATAGCGATGCCTCTATTGAGCTCTAGAGGCGTGTCCAGTCACCACAACGTGGGGCACAACCAGATGATGATGCTGCCGAGGTCGCCCATCAATCACGACGCGTCCGGGGCCACGTTTAGCACTTCCACGGCAATGTCGCCTAGTTTTTCGCCCTCGCTGTCGCCCTTAGCAACTAAATCGCCGTCGGTTTCACCCCTGGTGGCACCTGGTTTGCCTACATCGCATCACGTGATGACGAGACAGTCTGCGCAAAGGAACAAGTCCGTTGTCGATACCGAACTGAGAATATGATGCGGTGTGCGTTTTAAGTTAAGTGCGATTGGCTGTGCTCTCAATACAGACTGACAGTTTTAGAAGACTTTCAATTCGATTTTTGTAAATTCGTGTATATAGATGTAGTGATGAAATGCTCATTTAGGTAGCGAAACTGCCGGCCATTCTTAGCCATGACGATTACTAACAGTACCCCAGTTTGTTATATTTTCAAATGCCCAAACAATTGTATTGAGTAGAAACTGATTTTTGTTCTGAGGATTTGTTAAATATGATTGGTTATTATATAATTTACATTATCTCTAATCGTTTTATGCAGTTTTCAAAATTTAAATGTTTTAAAATGTTATTTCAAAACAATGGAATTTTTTAGCTATCTCTTTTGTACAAGCCAGCCAAACCTAGGTTTTCATCTAATAATAACTTCAATTTTTGTTATGGGGGGATCCATCATTCTTAGTTTTCGGGAAAACGCATGATACTTATTCTCATCCACTTGAAATAGATTACTCAATCAACCTTGTTTGATAAGGATTTAGTTTGGAACACATTTTTTTTTGAAGAGTTGACTATTATGTGTATTTGTCATCAGCGTCAGTTGTCTTATAATATTGATGATTATATTATTCTTTTTTGAAACAATGTTTTCTTTTTTGTATTTATTTTTCATTTAGTTTTGAATATTATAGCTGATCAAACTATTTTTATGACAAGTAACCCTAATAATAGATTCACCAATCAGACAACTCAGAAAGAATAAATGAAAACCCTTATTTGTAATATATTGATTTCTTTCTTGTTTCATATTTTCTAATATGTTGTTTCACTATTGTTTTGTGTTTTCCATTTTTCTAATGATAGTTCTCAGCTGATTTTGTATTTGCAAGTCTTTTTATAATTCTCTAACATTTTCAGATGTCTTTCCTTTTCTATTTCTCCAACTTTTTTTTTAATTTGATTCAGTTTATTTTCGAACTTTGTTTTATAGTAAATTGAATGCTAATGATTACTGTCAAATATCCACCTGATAAATTTATTACATGAAATATTTACCTGGCTATGATGGTAAATATTTCGGATATTCACCTATTTATCTAGGATAGATAGCTAAATTATTCTATCTAGGATAGATAAGTTAATATTTTATGTGAAAATTTATCAAGTAGAAATTTGTCAAGTAATGATAGTCCTTAGGTTTCAACGACACAGAATTTGTTTAGTCAGTATGGTGACGCCTAAAAATGCTATTAGGTATATAGCGAAACACGTGTCGCGGTTTTGTAATCTGTCATGTGGAAATTTCACATTGAAGTGTGTTTTTTGAATAAGTGATAATGGATTCTCATCAAGTATCGGTCAGTGTTGTCTAAAATATTGAAACGTGCACATACTATTTCGAAACAACTGAAGTTAATTGAAATAATATGGGGCAATTATTCTTAAATTTACTGAAAATCACTCTCTTCTCAATTCCTCGTATTTTTTTGTCGAATCGAGTATTGTTCGATATGATGTAAGCTTTAAATTATTGAGTATTGTGTAGATATTGTATTTAAATTTTTATACATCTTTGAGTAGTTGTAAGGAATCTAAATTATTTCAAATTGAACTGTTAACCAAATTTCTAGGCATTGTAATTGTTTCGATTGTTTACTGTTGTAAGTGAACGAGTAAAAATACTGATACTGATATCAGTTTGTAGAAAATGTACAAAATGAATAAATAAATTTATTAATGAATGGTTGTATGATTTTCGAAATATTTCGAACTCTTATCGAAATTAAAATAAAAGGAGATGATACTACTTTTCAATCAAAAAATCAGTCTCATATTGAGGTGTCCTTATAATTAGACTGGAAATTATAAAGAGTCAGTAAGAAAATGACAAGGAGTGATTTCGAAAAATATTATTTGATTTATGAAAAATTTTAAATATCAGGATTAAACATTTTTCAATAATTTTATCCTTGATATGATACCTCAAACTTTCCATTGAATTGAGATGAAAAATCTAAAACCATTGAAATATTGTGAATCAGTAACAAAATAGTTGTTGAGTAAAAACTCACTTGTATTGTAGAAGGAGATGAGGGTCCCTGCTATAGGCTCATGTCTCTTGAGGGTTTATCATAGAGGATCCTTAACTTAACTGAATACCTGAATTTTGTTTACCTGCGATAATGTGGGTATCAAAATGGAGAAATCTGGAGTTCATAAGCTGTCCAGAATGTAATAGTGCTTATGTAGGACAATGCAACCAAAATTTTTCAAAACGTTATTCCGTACATGAAAGATCCTTCAGACTCGGTGAAAATGGAATGCAACCACAAGTTCCCGAATCTGAACGATATGGAAATTTTCTACTAGGCACTATGCAAATTAGTGTTCCCACGCAGATAAACAAAATTCAGGTTCTCAGTTAAGTTAATGACCATCTGTTACTACCTACAGTGGTGTATAGATATATAAGGTTTAACATTGTTAATTATTTCAGTTTATTGTTTTCGTTTGAAAATGTTCTTATAGAAGCAAGGCCGTAGCGGAAAAAAAACCAGGGTGAGGAGGGAATCCAAATTTTCCCAACCCCACAAGCAAAATTTACCAACTTTCGAAAAAATGAAAGCCGAGGGATTAATTACCACTATAATATATTAATTTTCTCACTTAGCTATCCAAAGATTGGCTGAATGCTTATGACCGTTAGGATATGCACAAACAAAAATAAATTTTGGCAATTAGGAAAATAATAATGGGAATCATTCTACTTTGGACCAAGGTTCTTGGTGTTCTACCATATCCACCATGTATAGGACAAATGAAAGAAAACAACACTTTAATAATATTGTGCTTATTGTTTTCTATTATTATTTTTTCTATCTTCACGGCCCGAAATTTCCCAACTTTTCCAAGTCGAAAAAACAGCGAAAAGTTGAGAATTTCGTAAAATTGTCGCTTAAAAATTTGTGGACTGTCTTGGGAGAAACAAAACTTTTTTGAAGTTTTCAAACAACGCAGAATTACAAAGTATGGGATCTTCAAGTTATGCATGTTGGGAAATCCCGACCTTCTCCTGGTTCTTTCCCTTTTCTTATTACCTCTCTTGATCAATGTTACACAAGTACGGAATTCCATTGTCTTAAAATAGAATTGAAATTTATTAATGAATAAATGAACGGATTGTCAGAATTATCAAAAATACTAAAATAAAACGTAGTGAAAGTGATTGAGATGGTTAAAACCGAAATAATATCAAGAAAATGAAAAATCTGGACAAAAATAAACAAAAACTGCAAAACAACAACTTCCAAATAGGTGTTAGAATACAACAAAATTGTAAGGTCCACTAGCGTTCAGTTCTTAGGTTAACATATAGATGAAACTATTTCGTCGAATTTCCAGATCAATATCATTCGAATATAACTAGCTCCAGTCATTGGGATTCTATATAAAATAAGAAATCATATTTCTTTGAAACATCTCAGAAGTAACTANATTGAGATAACATTATGATTTCCTACCACGTAGTAACGGCTACATCCATCAATTTATTACAACAATTAAGTATTCAGAAGATATTATGGAAAATGTTATTTTGTTTAAAAATTCGATTTTGATATTAAAAATATACAAAAACTCACTCTTAGTCTATTACAAGGAAACTGAAAAAAATATCATTCCTCTAGGGACTTGTGTGCAAGCTATTTGAATAAAAACCAAAGATATTTATGATTTTCATTACAGCTTTGTTAAGAGTTTATTTCGAAATTCATTGCTGGCTTCCTTTCCTTTGGAAAATTCCCACATTTTTTTGTATAAGTAGAAAGTCAATACCTTATTTTCCTAAAAATTCATCTTTCCTAATTTTAATTCAAACTTACATTACCTTCCAATGGAATCAGACATAGAGTTTTTATAATAAAATGCAAATTAAAAATGCTTCAAATCTTGCATTGCTATAACTATCAGGACAACTTCCATCAGTGGTTCGAAAGAAATTGATATAAACCCTAGTGTGTACCTTGAACACTTCCATATCTGAAAACTTTGTTGAAATCACTTGATTATGTAAATTTATCCAACAGCTGAGATAATTTGACATATTAAAAAAGATTGACTTCAAAAAAGATTCTTCATTTCTGAAATAATATTTGTTGAAGGCTATTTCCGTAATAATTATCAGTCATTACCCATGTGAGATAGGTAGCTAACTTAAATCTCACTAATCAAATATGTATAAATGAGGGCCATAAATTGTCCAGTCAATGAATTCCAAATCACTTGAATAAATAATGTAGAATCCAAAATTGGTAATCATACCAACATACTAAAAAACTGGGAGCTGGGAGTGTAGACGTGGCGCTTCTAGTAATAGGGTACCCACGATGCAAAATGGGGATTTACTCGAGCGTCATTGAGACATATTAGGTTGCAAAGCTTAGATGATAAGAAGAAAAAAATCGGTGGGGGAAGCGGCTATAGATTTTTAAATATGTAAGAAAATACTGTTGCATGGACATACTCAAGCGCGTCAGATATTGATAGCATCAATGTCCTACGTTTTTTTAATAATGTTCGTAAGTTATTCTGATCGTTTGCATGATGCGGGTGGTTGTATCTTAGGGATGAAAGTGAAAAGAAAAAAATATATTCGAGCGAGTCAGATTTTCTAAGGGGCTGTAAAAAAAACTCTCATTCAATAATCTGACGATTTCGATCTGATGCAAACTTGCGGCCATTATTATAATTAGCAAAAAAAAATAGCCATTTTGAAATACTCAAGCGCGTCAGATTGAGATATATATCGTTCATCTTTATGTTCTAGATGTGCAGTCTCATAATCTGACGATTATCTAGAGGGATTCGCCTAATCTGACAAAAAAAATATTTTTTTTTCAATCATGGAACTTAATTAATTGAAAAGCTCAGGAAATAGCATGCAAATAAATAAGTTAACTACGCTCGAGAATGTCGAAATGAATTAAATTTTTTACAACTTTGCTGCCCTCCCCTTTCTTTACGTCACTCTCAAATCGACAGATTACTGTAATATACACTTTTCAGCATGTAATTAACTCACCCTACCTTAATCTGACGCGCTCGAGAATTTCTGATGATCAATTTTTTTTAATAATCTGATCCTTTATCCTTTACGGGCGGCCTTATATATAGGGCTCATATTTGGTGGAGGTACTTAACCGGGTACAAGGTATCCCCTGTATATTATCTGCCGCGCTTTAGTAAATCCCGATATCCCCGCTTGGTCTCCCCCATTATATTTTCAAAAAAATAACTATATGCTGAATCGATCACCATAAAATTTCCCACAAAATGTTTCCATGTAATACGTATTTAAAATATTCTCAAGATAATGATAAAATGTTCAGAATATTGTAATATGTCGATATCATTTACATCTAGTGACACCATACATTAGTTCAACTTCCGAAACAGGTACTGCATAGCAAGCAATTCCTGCTTTTCGGCAGCAGAACCGTACTCCATACATGGTGGTGTTGGCAGTGACAATGAATAGGTCTTTTCACATATCCCAATCTCATTATTTGATAGGCGGTTTCTCAGCCAATGATATGTCTATAAGAAAGTATGATAGAACTGTGTTTTGGTTGGTTTCCGTCTTTTACTGTGGTCCTTTGGTTACAATCTCCAAACTTTTCAACTGCAAGACGAGTACTTCGACCACGCCACTGAGGATGACTGCCGCAGTTGCAGTTGAAACGTTTGGAGATTGTAACCAATGAAGACCACGGTAAAACGCGAAAACCAACCAAATCATTGACGCCAGCTCTGAAAGTCTACATTCTTATATTATGATACTTGATGAAAATCCATTATAACGTATTCAAAAAACACACTTCAATGTACGATTTCTACTTCGAAGTTTACAAAACCGCGACACGTGTTTCGTTATACGATAGCATCTTCTACATGACTATTGTGACACCAGACTATGCTATCGTGTAGGGAAACGTATGTCACGGTTTTGTAAATTTTCAAGTGGAAATCTAACGAATACGTTATAAGAAAGTATTTAGAACTCTATTATTTCATATTGAAAGCGTTAGGTAAATAATTGGAATTTTATGATGTATTTTTGAAATGACTGATTCTGACTATTTACCAGTAAGTATTATCTCGGGGGTACTATCTAGCGGCTCTTCTGGTAGAGGAAAGAGTGGCCAAGTCGTACTTTGGATTCACTGACGACCACAATGAGGTATTTTACCTCAGCTTGTTGAGTTCTGTTGTGTCTCGTGGAGCTTGGAAATTGGCCAACAATTGTTTCTTCTCGCCCTCTACAATCTCCTTTGGTGACGGTGAGACATTCAGGTCTCTTGAATATTCATTTCATGAAGTTGGGGCTCGCAGTAAAATGTTTGACTAGACCGCCTTTACTTCTCCCATTGATTGCGCAGGTAGTGTCTCATCTAAAAATATTCTGGAGATGGAGGATCATGAGAAGGAGTCTGTTGAAGGCTGCGAAGATGGGTACTATCAAGTCCACATTATCTCCAATAAGAGCTACGGCTGAATGCAGAAGAGCTTTCCCCAAGGTATACCTTACGATGAAGACATCTGCATAATCTACAGTACCTGATATTTCCATCCAAGCCTCCATCATTTTCTGATAAGTAACGTATAAACTTCCATACTTTCCAGAAGCTTGAATTTCGAATGATTATTATAGGAATGAAGGTTATGAATTGATTATGAAACTTAAATAGCATATATTGAGTTTCCGTTTTCCATTCCATTTTGGAATACTTTGTTCTTTTGTGCGTGTTTTGAACGTTCTTTCAGTTCAACTTATTAATAACATATGCCTAGAAACTTGTTTTGTAAATATGAAAATATTTTTATTTTGTTTTCCATTTTCCACTCAACATATCTCCTTAAGTATTTATCCTTGGCGATCTTCTTGTAGGGATAGTGAAGTTTCCGACAACTTTAGAGACTCCCCCCCAATAATTTTAGCATGTTGTTCAGGTTACCTTCACCTACATTTCTACCAATTTTGAATACTACATTGGTCATTTAGGTAATTTGGTATCCGTTGATTGGACTAAAAAGCAGTCAGTTGAATTCCTCAATGCTCACATCAACATCCGCTATCAAAAATTTTCCCAAAGGAGGCAGATTAAAAAGAAAAGCTTCGACATCGATCGCATTCTCACTCTCTGTAGTTTTTATTGGAAGCAGGTACCTGGAAGATTCCAGAGTTTTCTGTCGTTACCATCAATGGCATCTTCTTGAAGAGAGTTATTTCAGTTAGGAAACGAAACATTCGTATGCATCATTTACGATCAGCCCCGGTACCACCATGACAGATCAAAAAAACGATGTCTGATATTGGATCACGAACGTAACTCTTTCAGGCGTCAATATAGTTATTATCATAGAATCCATGGACCCAAATTTACTTCAGAAAAGGATTTTAAAATTCTATGGTGAAAATTCAACATTATATGCAAATTTGTTGATATTATTGACTGATTTCTACCCAAAGTCCTAAAAGAGTACGAAATCCGTCAAAAAAATATGGTGAATGTTAAAATTTCGCGGGCTATATACATTTAATTAGCGTTTTTTATGTTGGTACACTTTTCACTAATATATTGTTACAGTTTCAGCTGTTTAGTTTGTCGATGGGAGTCATAAAAGTTAGAAGTGTTTTGCGTGTTGGGCGATTTCCTCCAATTGAAAATTGGAAAAGACTTTGCATCAATTTTAGTTTGAAAAACGAAATTGAGTGCTCAAAAACAATTCAAATGTTGACAGCGGCATACGGTGGTTGTACTCTGAGTCAGAAAAATGTTTACAAGTAGTACAAGCTTTTTACAGAAGGTCGAGAAAATGTGAATGAGGACGCTCGCTCTGAATGCCCCAGCACATCAACGACCGATGAAAATGTTGAGAAAGTGAAGAAAATTGTTATGGAGAATTGTCGAATCACTATTAGAGAAATTGCTGAGGATGTTGGCATATCGGTTGGCTCATGCCATGTACTTTTTTCGGGAACATGAAGCATGTGACAGCGAAGTTTGGTTCAAAGTTCGTTCCAAAACTGCCGAATTTTTACAAAAAAAAAACGTCCCATGAGCATCCAGATTTACTTAAAACGGTCATAACTGGTGACGAATCATAGGTACATGGTTATGACATCGAAACCAGAGTCCAATCGTCCCAATGGAGGAACCCAGGAGATCCAAGACCAAAAAAGTACGCCAAGTTTTTGATAATTGTTTTTTTCGATTATCGTTGCGTACTGCATCAGAAGTTTTTGCCACATGGACGTGCAGTTAATAAGGAATATTATTTACGGCTTGCGAGAAGCAATACGAAGAAAACGACGGCTATTGTGGAAGGACAATTCTTCTGCATCACGATAATGCACTTGCTCACTCGTCATTGCTTGTTCGTATTTTTTTTTGCCAGAAACAACATCGTTATCATACCTCAGCCACTGTAATTGCCAGATTTGGCTCCTGCGATTTCTTTCTGTTCCCAAGATAGAAGAGATACATGAAAGGACGGCGTTTTGTGACGATTGAGGAGATAAAAACCGAATCGTTGGGAGAGCTCAATGGCATACCAAAAAGTGCATATCAAAACTTATTGAAATCATGAACAAATTGAAAATTATCTCCTTTCTCCAACTACAATAACAAACACATGACATCACCGCGAAAGAATACAGTTGGGAATCCCCGGTAAAACTCTAGAACCGAACCCACTACAGATTTCTAGAAAGGACCGTTACCGATATAAGCACGGCTTCCCGACCCAAGAGGGCAGTTCAGAAAGTGAATCGAGCGGCTAAGCAAGAAATTCAAATAGTAGAAATAAATTTGCTAAGTGTTGTAAATAAATTAGTTTGTGATTAGTGAAATATTGTTGGAAATAAATTTGTTTAGGACAGTTACTTTCTTCATTTGTCACAAGACACACAAGGAACGCAGCAAGGCAAGCAGCTGGAGGTGGATAGCAGGGTATGCAGCAGGCCGTTGGGCAGCATGGAGGAGGGCAGTAAGACGTTTTTTTTTTAGTTTTTCTGCTTAGTTCACGTTGGTTCTGCACTGGGAATTCTATATCTGAGGGGGACTACTCTGAAGGGGAAAAATAGAAATTGATGAATAAATAAATATTTTTGAGAAAAATTAACATTCACATCGAATAACTGTTGTCCTCCAATATGCTGGTAGAGTAACGTGATAGCTACTCTCATTAAGTGTAATTTCATTCTACGAACTTTCAACGGGTAGATAAGTTTTATTGGACAACCAATCACTAGGTGAGCTCTGCGTACATTATCGTTTTTTATATTACAATTTTTTTGGAATTCTCATGTTCCTTTATATTCATCTCTCGTTTTTTTTTTCGAAACTATTGATGTTACTCATCTCAGGTATAGGCTAGGATTCTTAATATGATAGACACGTAAGTGGTATGGTCGTTCAAATTAAGTAACTACTTAGTAATCAAAAATCACAAATGAATGCTATTTTCAATTAAACTTCATAATTATCGCATATATTTATTTCACTTCTTCACTATCTCTTGTATAGTCCTGTCATTTGCCCGAACTAATCCACAAAACTGATCTAATCTGCCTGTAACTTGACGACCAAATTCGAACATTCTTGTAAGTTGGAGAACGAAACTCTTTACAGTTACATGAATGTCACGTAATATTTTGTGATCACGTATCTATCTGTATCCCAAAACGCATGACACTGGGTGTGCGCTTCATGCTAATCTTATCTCCTATATTTACCGAATGAAACAAACGCTTATTTTCGTACATAACACTGCATGAGTACACCTAGTTTCTGTCATGAAGTGATAACGGAAAACAAATATGGAGCAAAACCGAAAAGAGTCACAAAAATTCACCTGTTATTTTTGCAATAAAACTATCGAAAATGAAACGGCCACGGTAAGTGAATCATATGTATGTATGAGGCAATTCTAGTTCGATAAAACTTCGGAACAAATCTGAATTCGAAAAAGTATAATTCATCCAAATCACTAAAATGTATTCCTGGAAATCATTATTTTCTAAGATTTTCCCCCTTTCTGATGTTTTTATTTTGCTGAAGGTAGGCTAACTATATTGCATAAAAAATAAAAGTACTGATTGAAATATGAGGTGTATAACATAATTACCCTCAAACAGACAGTACTTCATTGCCTTTGATGATCAATAGTTATGTCTTTACGCATAAACGCTTGAGGAAGCTATTAGTTTTTTTAGTTTTTCTTCAACACGCTTTCATTTTAACACGATTTTATTAACTTCATCTGTATGTATGTATGTTTGTTTGTTAATGTCAGTTCGTTTGTTTGTAACTCTCCTTTTCATTTCATATTCATTCCAGTTTGAGAGAATTATCGACATTATTGATCTATTCGCGGGCAGATGGCGCTGTACATAACCTCCTTGATATAATTCGAACTCACTTTACATGTATTTCTTTATTTGAAAAAAGTATTTTTTTAATAACACGCGCGCCTACTGCCTTATTTGTAACCCTCCTATGCGCCTCTGCTGCCTTGGACTTGGTAGCTGATTTTCAGGCTCCCTCTCCGGAATCAGAAAATATCAATGGTCATTTTTCTAAACAATATACGGCTGATTGATCCCAAAGTCTAGATAAAATAAATATAGTTTAAAAAGACTAAAAAACACGCTTTTATAGCATACAAAACTAAAAAAATTTTGTGCCATATTGTCGTTATCGTTATTGTTTTGAGCTTATTTAAAAAAATATTTTTAACTTTTTAGTTCGATGTTTTTTAAAAGCGTGTTATTTAATTTTTTAAACCATATTTATTTTTCATTTTTTTATAGTTCAATTGAAATTGCCAATAACTATCAGCTAGTGGCAAAGGTTTTCTCATTTACCTAAAGTGAGTAATACTTTAGCGAAATATCAATAACCATTTCAGAGCGATTTTTTGTTAGTTGAAGTATGATAGAAATATTTTGAGAATTTTTTGATGATATAAGGGCATGTTGATGAAAATTATGAAGCAAAGATTGATATGACTTGATGGAAAATGCGAAGTAATTTTTTATTTCGGGTATTCATTAAAACGTTTGAAAAACTTACTCTCATCAATTATAATTCCAGATTAAACAGTAATCGAATCCATGAAAATGGAATTGAACAAAAATTTGAAAATTTTTGGACAGAAATTATGAGACTGTCAAAGGGGGTGATGAAAATGAAATTATCTAAAATCTCAAAAATCTCAAACCATGAAAAAATTGACCAACTCTGAGAGACGAGGAAAAAAAATATAGAACGTTAACATATTTGGGCCAAACTGGTATGAAGATTTCCGATTTCTTAAGAAAGAGTAAATGAGTGAATACAACTTTGAAAGCAATGATAACTTGACCATGCAAGTACTTCAACGTATGTTACTCACCTTCTCCATACTCGGTCCCTATAGAACAATCATTATGTTGTAAACATAAATTTATTAATTGTTTTTACCTATATTTTCACCTATTTTTATTAGCGAATTAATGTAGTTGAATCTAGCCTCAAATTAATTATCTGATGAGACCTAGGCAATAGTTAATATTTCTAGGGCATGAAATATAATTTGGAGTAATTTGTCAGTCCTGCTTGTATAGCGAATCATGCGTCATAGTGAAACTATAAGTTCTAGTAAGTTTTCATTTCAACCAGAACCAAAAAACATTTATCCAGCCCCTATACAGAAATGCCTAGATTTTCTATGCAAAAAACTGTCCAGGAGATGCAGTTCAGAACTGAAGGATCTGGCGGGCAGGAATATATCATCTCTATACTGAGTGACAGGAATCTAAGGAACCTCAGACAATGGAAAAGATGATGAATGCACCAAACCTTGCTGTGGGAATACCAAAATTACTATCTCAATCAATAGAGAACAAACCTAAGATTATTATGCGAGTCAGACATAATGCAGAAACAAACATTTTTAACAAATTTTAATATGTGGAAGCCAGAAACGCTCAATAACGCTTTCGGTTGTTAAGCTATTCAGAAAATAAAAATGTTTCATAGGCAAAATTATTTCTCCTCCTCACCTGAAAAAACTTAATATAGGCCTCTTAAGTCACACTCTCTATATTTATATATGTGTTCGAATTTCAGGGACACACAGCCGTGTGTGGTAACGTTTTGGTACCTTGTCCTAATAAGTGTGGATCCTACATTCGAAGATTGGACCTTAGAAAGCACGACAGAGAATGTGTTAATAGAACTATGAAGTCTCCTCCAAGATTTTTCAAATCTAACGAATATGCTCTAATAGATGGACCAAATGTAACACAAGTTACATCATCCCTAGGTGAGTATTTTATTTGGGAAACACGAAAATCATTATAAATTTGTATTCTCGTCTGCACACTCAGGGTAATTAACTATTCCACTAAGATATATTTGTTTTTCTACGATCAACTCTGAAAATGTTATAATCCGTATAACTTATAAAGTTGTAAATTTCATACACAGGAATTTAACTGTTCAAATTATTATTCCATTCCATTTCCGCAATCTTATGTCAAACTGGAGAAAATAAAAATTCTTCATTTCAATGGTTATACGGTTATCATAATTTTCAGTATCATCGAAATCTATTTCATGGTCGCCAAACTCTGAAAATATATGCAAATTACATATCTTATAATTTCCAAGCAATGAAAACTTTTACTGTCGAACAATCAGAAAGGCTATCAAAATTGTAAAACGACCAAGTAGTAGGTTAGGTCAGGCCCAAAGGCAGTGTATATTCGACCCCCCACCTAAACCCGTAAGAGTTTATTGTAGCTCACACCTATTCTGACTCGACCAAATAAACCCAGCTCATCAACTAAGCCGATTAGTTTGTATAGTGAGTGATCTTTCAGGTCAGAAGAGTACGGCTCTGTCAAAAACGTGATTCGATCCCCAGCGGGGCAGGTACGAAGTATGTGCTCTGCTGTTTCATCATTTTCCAAACACAGGCGACACACACTGACGGCGACCTATGAAAAAGCCTGTTAGACATCGTATTTCATCCCTACTATAGTCCAACAACTTTTTGGTATCAGGTTTCGAAGGGTGAATAAACGCCTTGGAGTGAGCCAATCCTGGAAGATTGTGCCAGAAGTTCATAAATCTTCTTGTCATCCAGGTGTTCAATATTTGTTTGGCAAAGCCTGAAGCGATGCCAATGACAGGTTCTGGTCCGATAAAGCTGCTTGCAGCACCATCCTTTGCAAAGGAGTCAGCAACCTCATTGCCTTCCAGGCCAGTATGTACAGGAATCCAGACCTGAGACAATCTGTTAAGTCTTTCTATCGAGGAGTGTCGAGACAGCACAGGTTATCGGACCAACACAGGTAGTCGGTTCATTATACCTGAATTATCATGTGCTAAGTTTTGCTTCCGGGGTTGTGCGGTCTGTTTGATTTTGTGGAGTGAAAAGATGGATCTCCATGTTGCTGGTAATCTTTGCGTGTCATCCCTATTATTCATACTACTACGTTGTTTTTCAATTTCGATAGCCTATCTGGCTATTCGAAAGTAAAAGTTTTCATTGCTAGCTGGTGTTTATATGTTCTCGAAATGGATGTTGTGTTCTGTCGCCAATACGTGTTGGAAGAGAGAAGATGTGATGACTTTTCCCTTCACTGATGATTTGTATTCATCCTTGCGTATGTTGAGGATGTAGGTCTTGTCACAGTCTTGACAAGGTTTTTTGTAAACTCCTTAGGACTCCAGTCGTATCTGATCATTTGGATTACAGAGCATGGACCTCATTGTACGTTCTGGTATGAATAATGTTGCTATTCTGTGTTGGCGGAGAAAACTGCTGATTTTGTCTCTGGTTCAAGAATACGAAATGACTGAAATCAACTCGTATTCTTCTTCTTAGATTTGGTGGAAAAAATGTGAATATTTCAAAAAAAAGGGCCGGACAAAAATTTGGGATGGGTCAGGACCCACTTAAGCCCGTCCATAGCAGCACCACTGATAACTGCTCCAGAATAATGCTCGCTTCTATCCGAGGGATGAAGAGATGCGCAATGCTACGTCCTTTTCTATCAAACGGTACATTTTGTTCGGACCTCTTTGTTGCTCGCATCAAAATTTCGCATTTTGAAGTTCGCCAACCGTCACTCGAGCCAATTTTTTCGGAGACAACTCTTTATAATGGTATTCGCAGCATAACAAAGCTAAATTTTATATAAGAATCATTCATTAAAAAGTAATTATAAAGGGCCGGACAAAAATTTGGGATGGGTCAGGACCCACTTAAGCCCGTCCATAGCAGCACCACTGATAACTGCTCCAGAATAATGCTCGCTTCTTTCCTAGGGATGAAGAGATGCGCAATGCTACGTCCTTTTCTATCATACGGTACATTTCGTTCGGACCTCTTTGTCGCTCGCATCAAAATTTCGCATTTTGAAGTTCGCCAACCGTCACTCGAGCCAATTTTTTCGTTTTATATAAGAATCATTCATTAAAAAGTAATGAAAAGAAATAAACAACCTTATGCTTTCGATTGGTATAAAGTTATAAAGTTTGTAATGTTGTAATGTGTAATGTTTAAAGAGAAATAATTTATAAATTTTTAGGCTCTTCCATTGGGACAATTGGACTTTGGTTTCAATGTCATAACCATATACCCATGATTCGTCACCAGTTATGACACTTCTAAAAAAATTTGGATCACCGTTGACGTCACTCAATAATTCCTGAGTGATGCTCATGCGACGTTTTTTTTTATTCAAAATTCAGCAATTTTGGAATTAACTTGGAATGCCACGCGCTTCATTCCCAAAATTTCTGAAAAAATTGCATTAGCTAACCTATATGCTGATATTCTCAGGAACTTCTCTAAGAGTGATTCAACGATTCTCCATAACAATTTTTCTCACTTTCTCAACATTTTCATCGGTTGTTAATGTGCTGGGGCGTCCAGGGCGAATGTCGCCATTCATATATATTCTACCTTCTGTGAAAAACGTGTACCACTTGTAAACATTTTTGTGACTCAGAGTACCTACTACCACCGTATGCCACTGTCAACATTTCAAGTGTGTTTTAGCCCTTGATTCCATTTTGTACACAACATTTGATGCACACTCTTTGATCCATATTGTCGATAGCTGGCACGCAAAACACATTTAACTTTTATGCCTCTCACCAACAAAGTGAACAGCTGAAACTGTAAACATATGTTCGAGATGAGTGTAATATACAAAAATAAATGTAATCGAATGTACGTAGCCCGGGAAATTCGAACATTCACTTTATTTTTTGAACAGTCCACGTATATCGAATATTTTTCATTTTGGTATTTTTACTACTTTTTCCAAAGCTTTTTCAAATCTGGTCATTTGGATTATTTTAAATTTCGCAAAGTATATTTTCAACAATTTCAAATCGAATCCCTACAGAAACTTTTCGTTATCATTAGATTGAAAATTAATGAATTGTCTTTTGTTCTGACTATTATTTATGACTTACCACGTGTTGCTAGTATTCTATGTTTTCAATTATTTTCTATTTCGTAGGTAGAAATGGCATGACAAAAACTGATTCTCGAGTCCAAGAAGAAATTCACAAGCTCTCTAGAAAACTTTCAGACCTCGAAATACACGTCGCAAAATCACAAGTCACTAACCAAACCTATGAGACTCTTAAAAACAATTTGATGCAACAAAACCTAGACCTAGAGAAATTGAAATACCAGTCCAAACTATCCTTTGATTGGAAGAATAATACCGAAATAGCTCTGAATAATATTAAACAATCCCTTTCTTCGATCCAGCATTCAAAAAGGGAAACTGACTCGAATGTTGCAGGTCTACAGAATCGATTGGGTATTCTGGAAAGAATGTTGGATCAAGTGAACTACCTCAAAGACTCTTTTTTCAGGGAACAAGCGTTCAATAGGCAAGTGGATGCGAATTTTGAACAGAACATAAACGACGTAAAGAGTCACTTTTCTCAAGAAAACGCACTTACTTTAGCCATTTTGAATGACGTCAAAGACACTACTGAAACTTTTCGGGAAGAAATCAGTAAACTCAAAAATGGTTTAGACGAACACACCGCTAAATTCACGAATATTATTTTCGATCTGAGAGCCGCTAGTCAAATTGCCTCAGAAGCATTAGAGAAGCTTGAAATTCATGAAAGAGAATGTCAGGAAATGAAAAAGGAGTTGAATCAATTGAAGTTGGATGTAGAAATACTTGAGGGGCTGTCTTGTTCGAATGAACTCACTAGTAGACCAGGAAGACTACTTTGGAAGGTAACAGATGTCGAAACAAAAATGATGAAAGCTAAGGAATTTGGAAGTGTAGCCAAAAGCCCAATATTTTATTCGCACGATTATGATTATAGAATTAGGGTAAGCGATGAGTACAAGCCAAAGGGGGAGACACAAATAACTCAATTGGTAACATTTTAGACTTTTTACAGATAGAAACAAATAATACGCTGCATTCAGAGTTTGTTTCTATGCTCATATTGGTTTGTGTTTTTTATCAAATAGCGGTATTATACAGTGTGTAACAACGAAAACCCAACAGAGCCGTTTTTGAATATAGAAAGTAAGATTTAAAAAAAAGCTCGGATACGTCGATTTCTAATTAAAGGGGGACACCTTTCGGACTAATCAGATTTTTTGTAGTACGCACCCCCTCGGAGGGGTGCGTCCGACGACCCTTATTTAGATAGGGAAAGTAG